ATGGGTTACATTGTGTGTATTATTCCAACTTTCTTAAATATAAAGATGTTTTCTTTGACTTTTTGTGTTTGAATATGCATGTCACAGGCACTTTAAAACACATAAGATTTATTTCATGTTATCAAACAGATCATACAGCACACTCATGACTGTACAGCCTCTCAGCTTTCATCTTTATTTAAATGTTTCAATAATCCCATAAAACTCGATTCAACATTCTGGACAGAAATGTCTAAAGAAGAAAGCACACAAGCATCAGCCGTCACAGACTACAGTAACAGCAAATCATGTTTCTGAAGGGTAACAGTGAGTCAAACATGCAGCTTATATTATTAATAGCTGTGGTTGGCAGTGGCAGCTCTTGGGGCAAGTTATGAGAAGGGCTGACAAATCCATAGGGCTGGTTATTTCATTTATCCTATGACAAGGAAGACTGGGACGAGCAGAAAAAGAGCTTAATTTGAACTATTTCTGCATTTTTTTTCTGTTACGTGTGTTTAGTTAATACAGCGGGTAAAATAAGTATTGAACACGTCACCATTTTTCTCAGTAAATATATTATTAGAGGTGCTGATGACATGAAATTTTCACCAGATGTCGGTAACAACCCAAGTGATCCATACATACAAAGAAATCAAACCATAAATGTCCAGAAATTACAAATAACTTAATTTCTGGACATTTATGGTTTGATTTCTTTGTATGTATGGATCACTTGGGTTGTTACCGACATCTGGTGAAAATTTCATGTCATTAGCACCTCTAATAATATATTTACTGAGAAAAATGGTGACGTGTTCAATACTTATTTTACCCGCTGTATATATTTTTCAGCAATGTTGTAACAAGTATTATTATATACATATGTATTTTGCTGCTGTGTTTTTGGTTTATCCATATTTTGCAGGTGTGCAGATGGATGTCGGGTGTGATGGCTTGTGTTTTCTTGACGTATTCATACATTTTCTATATCTCGTTTAATCTCATATTACATTTCCCCTTTTTCTCTTTTCCTCTTTAAAAAAAAAACAAAAGAAAACACAAAACAAAAAAAACTATTTTTATAGTCAACTAATCACCGACTGCGCATGTGTGTCAAGGACAGAAAGGCAGATACGGCAGTGGAAGGTGCTGCAGCAATTGTAGAGAAAAACAAAGTTAGAAAAAAAAAACAACGTCAACTATTAAATTATCAATGTTTTTAATAGTCAACAATAATCGTGACTAGTTGACTAATCGTGGAAGCCCTACATAAAACAGAGAGATGTTAAAACATATGCATTAACACATCTCCTGCCCTCACTGGAGGAGAAACCAGTGAAACTGCCAGACATTAAGGCCTGTRCACGTCCCATGACTTCACATGGTCCACAAACAGTTAGCAGTGTTAGAGGATTTTTTTTTTCAATTTTAATCCTGTTCCAAAATGTGAGAACATTTCTCTCAAAAACCTATAGAGTCAGTAAAAACATCTCCAACCAGCAAACCCACCTTATGTCTTAGGCATCTACAACTCATTTCAAAGGTGTGCTGTATTTTAACAACTCTCCTCAAACATCCAAGGTAAATGTCTAGGTAAAAAATATATACAGTATGATAAATGGAAAGATTGGTTCAAGTCTGTCAAATTCAAAAGAGTACTCCAGCAGATTGAATCCTAAACAAGGGGTCTGATGCCAAGATGGGAGAATATGAACAACAAAATAATGTGCATGACCAAGTATATATTTTTGTAAGCCAAGCCCACAAAAATGGATTTTCAAACGCAGACCATGCAAAATGTAGGCTCACAATTTGCCAGTCACTTAGTCGCAAACATTCAGAATTCAGCGCGACTGCAAAGGATCCAGTTCATGAACCGTTCAGCCACTCCACTCAGGCAGAAGTTAGTGCAGCCCAGACATCAAAGCTGAAGAACAACTTGTTCACTGAGGGCTTGAGGCTCAGGATTTTGGTCCCTTAAGCTGCCCTCTGCWGTTTGTTTATTATTAATGGAGCTTTAGGTTATTTATTTATTCTGTTTTTTTATTTATTTTAGACTGGTCTGAGGGACATATCGTGTTCTCCCATGTCTCAGATGATATCRTCAACCTTTTATGATCAACTTTTTCAGCACAGTATTTTCTTCAGGTTAACATGCAAGAATAGGAATTTGTCAAAGTAAAAAATTCTGATACATAATTCAAGAAAGAAAAGTGTGTATCCTCTTTGAAATAAGCCTACCTTGTAAACATCAAGCTCTCCACACTGGTGATCAAACCTGGTGTACAGCTCATTGAGCATGGTGATCACTTGCATCGGCGTGCAGACCGAACAAACAGCCGTGAAGCCCACTATGTCAGAGAAGAGCATCGTGACCTGCTCAAACTTCTTGGCCTGGACCGTTTCCCCCTGCCACAGCTGCTGGGCCACAGTGCCCGGGAAGATACTGAAAAGGAGGTCCACCGTCTTCTTCTTCTCCTCCTCCAGCGCTTGGTGAGCCTGCTCCAAYGCCGCTTTGGCTTTCCCCAGCCGCTTTTTCAGACCGTCCTGAGCTTTGGCCTGCTCACCAACCAGGACCACGTCCCGCAGTGCATTATGAATGGGGATGTCTGACAGGTAGAGGCCACGGCCCATCAGCTCCTCCAGCTTGTCCACGCATGGCGACCCCAGGAACAAGATGACATTTGACTCTGAGACATAAATCATCTGACCTTTAAGGTCCGTGAGCTAAAAAAAGGAAAGAAAAAGAAAAACGGTTGGATGCAAATGAGTGGGTTTTATCCGAGCCATATTAATCTTGGAGATCAAATAAAATAAAGTTAGGATAATCATTTCTGATTATCCTTATATCTACAAACCTCAAAAAATAAATCACACATAAACAAAAAGTTGCCTTCAGACATGTAGAAATCTAAAAATTGAGAAAAATAAGCACACTGCAAAAAATGTCCACCTAAACAAATTTTAAAATCTCATATCAGCCAAAAAGTCTTTTTGATCTTGTTTTGAGACTG